CACACTCACTCACTCACTCTCTCTCTCTCTCTCTCTCTCTCTCTCTCTCTCTCTCTCTCTCTCTCTCTTTTTCTCCTTCTTCTCCTTCTTCTCCTCCTCTCCCCCCACTCCCCACCCCCTTCCAAGGCGTCATTAGAGTGTATTAAGAGAGGTTGACCCCTGGCAGGGGGTCACAAGGTGTTTGGTATGTGTTAGGGGGAGTGAGAGAGAGCGGAGGGGGGGGGACACGTGGGTGTTGGTCAAACACCTGTGGAAGGGTCGACCAGGGGGGGGGGGAAGAAAATTGTACTGAAGGTCGGGCCGGGGTCCCTGAGCCCTGTGGCCCACTGCTAGAGTAAAGGACACATTCTGGGGGTCCCTGGGAGAGGCGGAGCTTGGGAGCTAGAGTGGAGAGGGAGGGAATTATCAGGGGAGAGCGTCAAGCCATTACGGCTATATAGCACTGGGAAGGGGTCAGGATTTGGGATGGGACGGGGGGAAAGGAATGGTGCTATCTTGAGGTTATCTTGAGATGATTTCGGGGCTTTAGTGTCCCCGCGGCCCGGTCCTCGACCAGGCCTCCACCCCCAGGAAGCAGCCCATGACAGCTGACTAACACCCAGGTACCTATTTACTGCTCCAACCACTTACTGGACGGTCGGGGATTGAACGCCGACCTGCATGAAGGGAGACCGTGAAGGGGACCTCCATGGTTCATAGTGACTATACCGCCTGTACAAGCTCTTCATACAACATCAACATCACTATTGCACAATACAAAATTGTGTTTCTTGAATGTCATTTCCTTGAGACAAGAGGATATCATCGTTTGTGAACCATTTCTTCAAGTGTGGGTGTGGACCTGAGATAGCAGATAGCATACGAGATATCGTACGTACGTGGCATACATAGGTATGCTATGTATACCTATGGTATACATAATATTTACTACTTATATACATAATATACGTACTTATGTATACCTATGGTATACATAAGTACGAGATAGCAGCGAGTGAGAGGACGGACTCCATTCACAAATAAACTTACCCAAATCAGCATTTTGAACGATAGTTCACATCCATACAAGCTTAGACGTTCTTAAATACTTTTTAAGCCTAACATTTAAAAGCACTACAGTCACCTTCTGTGGTTGATTGTTCAATAAATCTCTGAACTGTATGTTCGACAGATCTCTAACCCTGTCCATGGGAGGACAGAAGAGGACAGAACAGGACATGGAGGACAGAAGAAAATGTATATATGCTGGTTAGCATTGTAAATGTCTGGCCACGTCCGTGGTAGAAAATAATAATAATAAAAAAAACTCGATCAGTTAGTATCGACCTAATTCACTCATAATGACACTTGTTCTAACTTTTAGATCTCTAATAGTATAAAAAACTGACAAGTGGTCTCTTTGAGGATACAATGTGCCCAAGATACTTCTAGAATACTACACCATAAGTTCAGATTTAGGAAAGACCTGGGTAAATACTGGTTCTGTAACAGCGTTGTTGACTTGGTGGCATCAATTACCGCGTAACATAATAGAAGTAGAATCCCTTGATTGTTTCAAGCGTAGGTTAGACATATGAATGAGCTTGGGTGGATATAAATATTAGCTGCATCGTATGTGCCAATAGGCTTTCTGCAGTTACCTTGAGTCTCGTGTTCTTGTACTGGAATCTCTGTCAAGTAATATAACTTGGGATCAATATAGAACGAATCCTGTGAGTTAAAGGAAATTACAGCACATTTGAACAACTCCACAAGGGCCGTGACGAAGAGGGAGAACGGCCTATTGACATCTTGAGGTTATCTTGAGATGACTTCGGGGCTTTTTAGTGTCCCCGCGGCCCGGTCCTCGACCAGGCCTCCACCCCCTGGAAGCAGTTGGGAGCCTCGTAGCCTGGTGGATAGCGCGCAGGACTCATAATTCTGTGGCGCGGGTTCGATTCCCGCACGAGGCAGAAACAAATGGGCAGAGTTTCTTTCACCCTGAATGCCCCTGTTACCTAGCAGTTAGTCAGCTGTCACGGGCTGCTTCCTGGGGGTGGAGGCCTGGTCGAGGACCGGGCCGCGGGGACACTAAAAAAAAGCCCCGAAATCATCTCAAGATAGCCCGTGACAGCTGACTAACACCCAGGTACCTATTTTACTGCTAGGTAACAGGGGCATAGGGTGAAAGACACTCTGCCCATTGTTTCTCGCCGGCGCCCGGGATCGAACCCAGGACCACAGGATCCAGCGTGTTGTCCGCTCGGCCGACCGGCTCCGTAGCTCCCGACATAGCTCGAGTGCACGGGGGAGTTGTGTAAAATCCTGGTTTGTGTCTCGGAGAGGCTGCAGGATCCAAGTAAATTCAGTACTATTTCTGGTTGCAATTTTTATACCATGTCGTAGCTCAGTCGATTAAGGCAGCGTCTGAGATGCTCTCGGACGTAGGTTCGAATCCTCGTCACGGCCCTTGTGGATTTGTTCATTTGATGCATCACGCTATTGTGATTTCTGTGTTATAACCCATTTGTCTGGCTTGAAAATGAAGTTGTATTCTGCATTCAGGGAGCCGGTCGGCCGAGCGGACAGCACACTGGACTTGTGATCCTGTGGTCCTGGGTTTGATCCCAGGCGCCGGCGAGAAACAATGGGCAGAGTTTCTTTCACCCTATGCCCCTGTTACCTAGCAGTAAAATAGGTACCTGGGTGTTAGTCAGCTGTCACGGGCTGCTTCCTGGGGGTAGAGGCCTGGTCGAGGACCGGGCCGCGGGGACACTAAAGCCCCGAAATCATCTCAAGATAACCTGAAGAAGATAACCTGCACTATATCTTTCACACACATTCCTATGATTATTTTTTTTGAGATATATACAAGAGTTGTTACATTCTTGTACAGCCACTAGTACGCGTAGCGTTTCGGGCAAGTCCTTAATCCTATGGTCCCTGGAATACGATCCCCGCCGCGAAGAATCGTTTTTTCATCCAAGTACACATTTTACTGTTGCGTTAAACAGAGGCTACAGTTAAGGAATTGCGCCCAGTAAATCCTCCCCGGCCAGGATACGAACCCGTGACATAGCGCTCGCGGAACGCCAGGCGAGTGTCTTACCACTACACCACGGAGACTGCTAAATGATTATTTCCATAGTTTGGTTAGTAGCACTAGATGAGTTGATCTGATTTGATCTAGGTTTGACATGTTCAACTTTGTCAAAAGCTTTGAATTGGAAGCATAACAGAAAACATTTGCCTTAGTGCTGCCTATGGGACAGCCAACCTTGAGGTGTTCCGGGGCTTAGCGTCCCCGCGGCCCGGTCGTCGACCAGGCCTCCTGGTTGCTGGACTGGTCAACCAGGCTGTTGGACGTGGCTGCTCGCAGCCTGACGTATGAGTCACAACCTGGTTGATCCGCCAGCTCCACTCACTCATAAACTCACTCAACAATGGATCAAGGGAAGGGAAGGGAATTATCAGGGAAAAGCGCCAAGCCATTACGACTATATAGCACTGGGAAGGGGTCAGGATAAGGATTTGGGATGGAACGAAGGGAAGGAATGGTGCCCAACCACTTATGGACGGTCGGGGATTGAACGCCGACCTGCATGAAGCGAAACCGTCGCTCTACCGTCCAGCCCAAGTGGCTGGGCTGACAAGATACACAACAAATATGGGACTAAACAACACCTTGTTTGACTTGACACCTGGTTGATGGGGTTCTGGGAGTTCTTCTACTCCCCAAGCCCGGCCTGAGGCCAGGCTCGACTTGTGAGAGTTTGGTCCACCAGGCTGTTGCTTGGAGCGGCCCGAGGGCAGGCTCGACTTGTGAGAGTTTGGTCCACCAGGCTGTTGCTTGGAGCGGTCCGAGGCCAGGCTCGACTTGTGAGAGTTTGGTCCACCAGGCTGTTGCTTGGAGCGTCCCGAGGGCAGGCTTGACTTGTGAGAGTTTGGTCCACCAGGCTGTTGCTTGGAATGGCCCGCAGGCCAGGCTTGACTTGTGAGAGTTTGGTCCACCAGGCTGATGCTTGGAGCGGCCCGAGGCCAGGCTTGACTTGTGAGAGTTTGGTCCACCAGGCTGTTGCTTGGAGCGGCCCGCAGGCCAGGCATGACTTGTGAGAGTTTGGTCCACCAGGCTGTTGCTTGGAGCGGCCCGAGGGCAGGCTTGACTTGTGAGAGTTTGGTCCACCAGGCTGTTGCTTGGAGTGGCCCGCAGGCCAGGCTTGACTTGTGAGAGTTTGGTCCACCAGGCTGTTGCTTGGAGCGGCCCGAGGACAGGCTTGACTTGTGAGAGTTTGGTCCACCAGGCTGTTGCTTGGAGCGGCCCGAGGCCAGGCTTGACTTGTGAGAGTTTGGTCCACCAGGCTGTTGCTTGGAGCGGCCCGAGGCCAGGCTTGACTTGTGAGAGTTTGGTCCACCAGGCTGTTGCTTGGAGCGGCCCGCAGACCCACATATAAAAAGACTTACTTTTAGTGCGAAGTATTTAGGGATGACATTACTTTACAAGACGACCAAACCCACACATCAGAATATGGAGAAATGACGACATTTCGGTCCGTCGTGGACCATTATCAAGTGTGGCAGTCGTCCTGGACCACTTACTAATGGTCCACGACGGACCGAAACGTCGTCGGTTCTCAGTTTTCTCACACGTGGTTTGGTCATCTTATTTTCAGCCTCGTTATTGTGACTTATCGTTAGCTCATTACGCTATTTTACACCTAATTTGCATACTGATAAGACAAATATAGATATATAGCAGTAAGAGAACATCCTTTTCCGTTAAGCCATTTTCTATAAGGTTTGGCATGTTCAGCTTTGTTAAAAGCTGTGGAAGCATCAACACAGAGAGAGAGAGAGAGAGAGAGAGAGAGCAGACAGAGAGAGAGAGAGAGAGAGAGAGAGAGAGAGAGAGAGAGAGAGAGAGCAGCAGAGCAGAGAGAGAGAGAGAGAGAGAGAGAGAGAGAGAGAGAGAGAGAGCAGAGCTGCCTTGTGAATAGCAGAAACTGAATAGTTTCCAGATGACACTACAGAGCCTTAACTATTATATCACCAAGGGTGTGGGCGTGGGCGCCGGGTAGGGGCGGGCGTGGGCGCCGGGTAGGGGCGGGCGTGGGCGCCGGGTAGGGGCGGGCGTGGGCGCCGGGTAGGGGCGGGCGTGGGCGCCGGGTAGGGGCGCGGGCGCCGAGTAGGGGCGGGCGTGGGCGCTGGGACAGGAGAGATACCAGGAGCTGAGATAAGAAAGGTGGCTGGTGTGAGATGTCTTCACAGCGCTATCGGACACCACCGTGATTGGCTCTCCTCTTAATTACTGGTGGCACTGGCACCCCGGCTCCTCCCCTCCCACCATCCCCTACCCTTAAATTCTCTCTCTAATCTAGGGCCAGATTCACGAAGCAGTTACGCAAGCACTTACGAACCTGTACATCTTTTCTCGATCTTTGGCGGCTTTGTTTACAATTATTAAACAGTTAATGAGCTCCGAAGCACCAGGAGGCTGTTTATAACAATAACAACAGTTGATTGGCAAGTTTTCATGCTTGTAAACTGTTTAATAAATGTAACCAAAGCCGTCAAAGATTGAGGAAAGGTGTACACGTTCGTAAGTGCTTGTGTAACTGCTTCGTGAATCTGACCCCAGGTTCGTAAGTAGTTTCGTAACTGCTTGGTGAATCTGGACACAGGTTCGTAAGTACTTGCGTAACTACTTCTTGAATCTGGCCCCAGGTTCGTAAGTACTTCCGTAACTGCTTCGTGAATCTGACCCCAGGTTCGTATGTACTTTCGTAACTGCTTCGTGAATCTGGCCCTAGGTTCGTAAGTACTTGCGTAACTGCTTGGTGAATCTGGCCCCAGGTTCGTAAGTACTTGCGTAACTGCTTGGTGAATCTGGCCCTAGGTTCGTAAGTACTTTCGTAACTGCTTGGTGAATCTGGCCCCAGGTTCGTAAGTACTTGCGTAACTGCTTGGTGAATCTGGCCCTAGGTTCGTAAGTACTTTCGTAACTGCTTGGTGAATCTGGACACAGGTTCGTAAGTACTTGCGTAACTACTTCTTGAATCTGGCCCCAGGTTCGTAAGTACTTCCGTAACTGCTTCGTGAATCTGACCCCAGGTTCGTATGTACTTTCGTAACTGCTTCGTGAATCTGGCCCCAGGTTCGTAAGTACTTGCGTAACTGCTTGGTGAATCTGGCCCCAGGTTCGTAAGAACTTTCGTAACTGCTTCGAGAATCTGGCCCCAGGTTCGTAAGTACTTGCGTAACTGCTTCGAGAATCTGGCCTCAGGTTCGTAAGTACTTGCGTAACTGCTTCGTAAATCTGGCCCCAGATCTTGAAGCCTCTGAAATGCTGTACCGGTTAACTGTAATCTTTGAAGCATAGGAAGAGACATTGCCATTCATGACTCTTCAAAGCATAACTATCTTCTTGAGATGATTTCGGGGCTTTAGTGTCCCCGCGGCCCGGTCCTCGACCAGGCCTCCACCCCCAGGAAGCAGCCCGTGACAGCTGACTAACACCCAGGTACCTATTTTACTGCTAGGTAACAGGGGCATAGGGTGAAAGAAATTCTGCCTATTGTTTGTCGCCGGCGCCCGGGATCGAACCCAGGACCACAGCATCACAAGTCCCGCGTGCTGTCCGCTCGGCCGACCAGCTCCCTTCTATCTTCTAGCTGCTATCTTCTAGCTGCTATCTTCTAGCTGCTATCTTCTATAGCATATTGTTCTGCACTCACCTAGTTGTGCTTGCGGGGGTTGGGCTTCGCCTCTGGTCTTCTGTACCGAAGATATATAATAACCGTTGAACAAATCCACAAGAGCCGTAAGGAGGATTCGAACCTTCCTACGATCCTCTCGGAGGTAGGTTCGAACCTTCCTACGATCCTCTCGGAGGTAGGTTCGAACCTTCCTACGATCCTCTCGGAGGTAGGTTCGAGCCTTCCTACGATCCTCTCGGAGGTAGGTTCGAACCTTCCTACGATCCTCTCGGAGGTAGGTTCGAACCTTCCTACGATCCTCTCGGAGGTAGGTTCGAGCCTTCCTACGATCCTCTCGGAGGTAGGTTCGAACCTTCCTACGATCCTCTCGGAGGTAGGTTCGAACCTTCCTACGATCCTCTCGGAGGTAGGTTCGAACCTTCCTACGATCCTCTCGGAGGTAGGTTCGAACCTTCCTACGATCCTCTCGGAGGTAGGTTCGAACCTTCCTACGATCCTCTCGGAGGTAGGTTCGAACCTTCCTACGATCCTCTCGGAGGTAGGTTCGAACCTTCCTACGATCCTCTCGGAGGTAGGTTCGAACCTTCTTACGATCCTCTCGGAGGTAGGTTCGAACCTTCCTACGATCCTCTCGGAGGTAGGTTCGAACCTTCCTACGATCCTCTCGGAGGTAGGTTCGAACCTTCCTACGATCCTCTCGGAGGTAGGTTCGAACCTTCCTACGATCCTCTCGGAGGTAGGTTCGAACCTTCCTACGATCCTCTCGGAGGTAGGTTCGAACCTTCCTACGATCCTCTCGGAGGTAGGTTCGAATCCTCGTCACGGCCCTTGTGGATTTGTTCATTTGATGCATCACGCTATTGTGATTTCTGTGTGTCGAAGATATATCTTTACCTTTAAGATCTTTACTGCTCTTAAGTAGTCAATTAAGCATCTAAATTAGCTTTCATATATCAAATATCGCCGGAACGGCCTTAGAAGCAGTTGGGGCTAATGCAGGCAGCATACAACAACAGCCACATTGATCAGGGATGTATCCCGTATCCCGTGTGTGTGTATCTGGATACACAGGCTACATCTGTGTCCACATTGGGCGCCTGACAGCTGAGTGGACAGCGCTTCGGATCCGTAGTCCTGAGGTTCCGGGTTCGATCCCCGGTGGAGGCGGAGACAAATGGGCAAAATGTTTTATTCCCCCTGATGCCCCGGTTCACCTAGCAGTAAATAGGTACCTGGGAGTTAGACAGCTGTCACGGGCTGCTTCCTGATGGTTGGTAACAAAAAGGAGATATGGTCGAGGACCGGGCCGCGGGGACGCCAAGCCCCGAAATCATCTCAAGATAACCTCAGAAGATAACGTTGTGTCCCTGATACAACGAAGTGTGTATTCGTGGTGTTAATGTTAGTGTGTGAGGACGGGCCTGAGGGAAGGTGTGGGGGAGAGAGAGAGGGCGCTGGACCGCTCCTGCAGGCCCGCGTGGTGGCCAGGGTTGTAGTGGGGCACAACTGCTGCTGCTGTTCCAGTCATGTGTGTACACACCTGTTCAGCTGGGAGGCTGTACGCAATGAGAAGTGTTCGTAGGGCAGGTCATAACTACTTCAGACTCCCTAGTTACTAGCAGTTAGTCTGTGTGTGTGTTTACTAGTTGTGTTTTTGCGGGGGTTGAGCTTTGCTCTTTCGGCCCGCCTCTCAACTGTCAATCAACTGTTTACTAACTTTTTTTTTTTTTCCCACACCACACACACACACCCCAGGAAGCAGCCCGTGACAGCTGACTAACTCCCAGGTACCTATTTACTGTTAGGTAACAGGGGCATTCAGGGTGAAAGAAACTTTGCCCATTTGTTTCTGCCTCGTGCGGAAATCGAACCCGCGCCACAGAATTACGAGTCCTGCGCGCTATCCACCAGGCTACGAGGCCCTAAAGTGTGTGTGTGTGTGTGTGTGTGTGTGTGTGTGTGTGTGTGTGTGTGTGTGTGTGTGTGTGTGTGTGTGTGTGTGTGTGTGTGTGTGTTAGGTACACTACCGGCAGGACTATTGGAAGAAAGGCAAATGTTATTAGGTCGGTCCGGTTAAAACAGCGAGAAAAAGGGAAGTCATGTTCCCCTAAGTCCGTTTACCTCGTTATGGGAAAGGGGGGGGAGGGGAAGCCATCTTTGGATATGGGCGTTCAAACCATTATACAAGTGTTTGGTCTAGTTGATAATTTGAGGTGACATAGAGAACAAAACGGGGTCTGACGGCTGAGTGGAAAGCGTTCGGGATTCGTAATCCTAGGATCCTTGGATCGATCCCAGGCGAAGGCGGAAACAACTGGACAGAGTTTCTTACACTGATGCCCCTTTTACCTAGCAGTAAATAGGTACCTGGGAGTTAGACAGCTGTCACGGGCTGCTTCTTGGGGGGTATGTGGTGTGAAAAAAAGTAATTAGTAAAACAGTTGATTGACAGTTGAGAGGCGGGCCGAAAGAGCAAAGCTCAACCCCCGCAAAACACAACTAGGTGAATACAACTAGGTGAATACACGCCACTCCCCTACGTAATGCTTGTGAGTCAGGGGAGCCTTATCAGATCCTGGGGCGTGGGGGGGGAGGCGGGGGGGGATAGGGGGTATTTGGGACAATTGATCAGTCTTGTCAGGTGTATCAGCCAGGTAAGGTGTCAGTGCCTTGTTCCCAGAAGTACCGGTTCCTGCCCCGCCACGGAATGCCGTCAGGAAGTGTATAACATTCCCGCCACCTCCACCCAAGCCTGGTCTTGCAGGGGGTGTAACCTGCCCTCGGTGGTGGTACAGGTGTGTGTCTGGTGCAGTGTGGTACACCTGGTGCAGTGTGGTACACCTGGTGCAGTGTGGTACACCTGGTGCAGTGTGGTACACCTGGTGCAGTGTGGTACACCTGGTGCAGTGTGGTACACCTGGTGCAGTGTGGTACACCTGGTGCAGTGTGGTACACCTGGTGCAGTGTGGTACACCTGGTGCAGTGTGGTACACCTGGTGCAGTGTGGTACACCTGGTGCAGTGTGGTACACCTGGTGCAGTGTGGTACACCTGGTGCAGTGTGGTACACCTGGTGCAGTGTGGTACACCTGGTGCAGTGTGGTACACCTGATAGTGTGGTACACCTGATAGTGTGGTACACCTGCTGCAGTGTGGTACACCTGGTGCAGTGTGGTACACCTGATAGTGTGGTACACCTGGTGCAGTGTGGTACACCTGGTGCAGTGTGGTACACCTGGTGCAGTGTGGTACACCTGATAGTGTGGTACACCTGATAGTGTGGTACACCTGCTGCAGTGTGGTACACCTGGTGCAGTGTGGTACACCTGATAGTGTGGTACACCTGGTGCAGTGTGGTACACCTGGTGCAGTGTGGTACACCTGGTGCAGTGTGGTACACCTGATAGTGTGGTACACCTGATAGTGTGGTACACCTGGTGCAGTGTGGTACACCTGGTGCAGTGTGGTACACCTGATAGTGTGGTACACCTGGTGCAGTGTGGTACACCTGGTGCAGTGTGGTACACCTGGTGCAGTGTGGTACACCTGGTGCAGTGTGGTACACCTGGTGCAGTGTGGTACACCGGGTGCAGTGTGGTACACCTGATAGTGTGGTACACCTGGTACAGTGTGGTACACTAGGTACAATGTCAGACGTAGAAACGTGTCTTTACCTAATCCATCGTTCGAGATAGAGATGAGTTAAATCTATTATCACGGTAACTTGGAAATGGATCATCAGTTGTTGATTCATCTTGACTTTCACTTGCAGAGTTGTGCTTATGAAATGATGAGACAATGTGATGGTGTTGGTGGGGTAGTGAGGGAGAGGTGTTGGGGGCAGTGTCCCCCACTCCACCATTGTTGGTGAGCCTTGTCTGCCCTAGCCACCTCACTCGTCACCCTGAAAACACCCTACTCACCTCCCTGATGTGGTTCTGGGAGTTCTCACGTCACCAACCAGAGGAAGTGATTCGATTATATAATACTTAACGAAACTTCAGTCAGTAGGTTTAATTACGGGTTATTCATGCCCGTGCCACCTCTCGGGTGGCTTAATCTATATCAATCAGTAGGTTTAAGGTGAAAATAGTATATGGAAATACATATGGAAAATGTTGAGTGATGTATATACAGAATACAGTGATTAGTACAGAAAATGATCACGTTAGAAACATGTTGACTAGTGCGAAGAGTGGAGTGTGACACCAGGTCGAGTGGGACTTGGAGGTGAAGGAGCAGCATGACGTCGACGCTACGAGGGTACCTGACCCTCAAGCGGACAGGCTTGAGGAGGAGGAAGGAGAGGCTGGGGGTGGGGATGCTCTTCGAGAGTATGATGCTGGTGCCGGCATCTCCCGTCACGCTGGTGGCTCACAGGCTCTCCAGGTCGTACCAGGACCTCCACGACCACTCCATCTACCACACCGGCACCACCACCACCACCACCACAACCATCACCACCATCATCTCCACCGTAGGTGTTCCTTGAGTGCTGGGCGGGGTCCTCCTTAAGGCGCTCTTCCTTCCTCTTTTGTCTTAGGGGTTGATAATGCTTGCTTGTGATGAAGCTATGAGTTGTTGCTTGTGATGAAGCTATGAGTTGTTGCTTGTGATGAAGCTATGAGTTGTTGCTTGTGATGAACTGTGTGTGCGTGATGCCCAGGCACTTTGGACGGTAGAGCGACGGTCTCGCGTCATGCAGGTCGGCGTTCAATCCCCGACAGTCCATAAGTGGTTGGGCACCATTCCTTTCCCTCCGTCCCATCCCAAATCCTTATCCTGACCCCTTCCCAGTGCTATATAGTCGTAATGGCTTGGCGCTTTCCCCTGATATTTTTTTTTACAGTGTGTGATGAAACCATGTGGGGGGGGGGCCTCCCCTCCCCCCTCACATCCTGGCAACATCACCTCACATCTTCTAATTTGCAAATAACTTTTTCCTTTAAAATTGCCTATATTAAATGCTTGCCATATATTCCAACCCATCCTCCTGTTTGGAGAGCACGTTTAGTAACTGTGTGCACCATAGTACAAACATTGACTTGCTAAGCATTTATATAGTAGAATTTTGTACTATTAATAACTTTCCAAAAAAAAAATAAGCTAAAAAATACAAGCTTATATATTCCTAGACCTAGTATAGTACACATATGTACTATATTAGGACTCAGATAGCGTGTATTAGGCCTAGGGAGGTTATCTTGAGACGATTTCGGGGCTTTTTAATGTCCCCGCTGCCCGGTCCTCGACCAGGCCTCCACCCCCCAGGAAGCAGCCCGTGACAGCTGACTAACACCCAGGTACCTATTTACTGCTAGGTAACAGGGGGCATAGGGTGAAAGAAACTCTGCCCATTGCTTCTCGCCGGCGCCCGGGATCGAACCCGGAACCACAGGATCACAAGTCCAGTGTGCTGTCCGCTCGGCTGACCGGCTCCGTTAGGTTAGGGTAGTTTAGTTTAGTTTGTCAAAGCAACACAAGTAAAAAAAATTGTTTTCCGGTTTGTCCAACTCAATAGTTCAGATTTTTACTTTCTAATTCGTCGGTATATGCACTATGGTCCTCATCATCGTTACTATCAGTACTGTCCAAACACGAGGATAATGTTATTAAAATGAGACTAAAATCTGTGCATTAAAACAGAAGCGAAAAAGAAACCGGGAAAAAGGAGGAAACCCCACCCTCCATTTAATACTTTGACCCAAATATCAGAGTAACAAGGTTATCGCGAATAACCGAACTCAATTACGGGCTCACCATAGCCCGTGCTACATAGACATTTCCTTCTGAGTAGCTAAATCTAAAACAACAACAGGGGGATGGGTTGTTTACTCACATGGGGAGACTTAGATAGCACTTAACGATGACTGTAAAATTCATGTTACAAGTTGGACAGTTTAACCCTTGAAAGCCAATTTTGAAATTGTAATCTATCCTCAAATTTGTCATTACTTGGTATATTGACAAAACATGACCCATAGTCAATATTTTTTATATATTATCTATAGGTGTGTGTGTGTATTCACCTAGTGGTGCTTGCGGGGGTTAAGCTCTGGCTCTTTGGTCCCACCTTTCAACTGGTGTACAGGTTCCTGAGCCTATTGGGCTCTATCATATCTACATTTGAAACTGTGTATGGAGTCAGCCTCCACCACATCACTGCCTAATGCATTCCATTTACTAACTACTCTGACACTGAAAAAGTTATTTCTAATGTCTCTGTGGCTCATTTGGGTACTCAGCTTCCACCTGTGTCCCCTTGTTCGTGTCCCTCCAGTGTTGAATAGTTCATCCTTGTTTACCGGGTCGATTCCCATGAGGATTTTGTAGGTTGTGATCATGTCCCCCCTTACTCTTCTGCCTTCCAGTGTCATAAGGTGCATTTCCCGTAGCCTTTCCTCATAACTCATGCCTCTTAGTTCTGGGACTAGTCTAGTAGCATACCTTTGGACTTTTTCCAGCTTCGTCTTGTGCTTGACAAGGTACGGGCTCCATGCTGGGGCCGCATACTCCAGGATTGGTCTTACATATGTGGTGTACAAGATTCTGAATGATTCCTTACACAGGTTCCTGAACGCTGTTCTGATGTTAGCCAGCCTCGCATATGCCGCAGACGTTATTCTCTTTATGTGGGCTTCAGGAGACAGGTTTGGTGTGATATCAACTCCTAGATCTTTCTCTGTCTGTTTCATTAAGTACTTCATCTCCTATTCTGTATCCTGTGTCTGGCCTCCTGTTTCCACTGCCTAGTTTCATTACTTTGCATTTACTTGGGTTGAACTTCAACAGCCATTTGTTGGACCATTCACTCGCTCTATCTAGGTCATCTTGTAGCCTCCTGCTATCATCCTCTGTTTCAATCCTCCTCATAATTTTTGCATCGTCGGCAAACATTGAGAGGAACGAATCTATACCCTCTGGGAGATCATTTACGTATACCAGAAACAGTATAGGTCCAAGGACTGACCCCTGCGGGACTCCACTTGTAACGTCTCGCCAATCTGAGACCTCACCCCTCACACAGACTTGTTGTCTCCTGTTGCTTAGGTACTCCTCTATCCACCGGAGTACCTTCCCTTTCACTCCAGCCTGCACCTACAACTTTCGCACTAGCCTCTTGTGTGGCACTGTATCAAAGGCTTTCTGACAATCCAAAAATATGCAGTCTGCCCGCCCTTGTGTGTGTGTGTGTGTGTGTGTGTGTGTGTGTGTGTATATATATATATAATATAATTTTTTTTCTCTGTAATGTTAAAATTGCATTACCGAGACTCCTGGTTGGTGGTCTGGTAATGCTGAATCATTGTTAACGTTTGTCAACTCATTCCCTGTTATTGGTCTCTGATGACTGAACAAATTCAACTTTGCTAATGGCTTTACCGTGATCCAATTACTGGCCCTGATTATCACTGGCCATCATGTGGTGACGTAACTACATAGGCCTCGTGTTGTAGAATATGGTGACGTAGTTGTATGTAGGCCTAGGGGAAGAAAGTGGAGGCCCTCCCCCCCCCTACTACCCAAGTGCCACCTGGCACCCCGTTAGTGCCAAATGTCACCGTTAGTACTACCTGGTACACCGTTAACAGGAAATGAAGGCACTGACGGCACTGTGCCAGCTAGCATGTCGATCCACTTTTTGTCATCAGATCATTATTGAACCAGCGTGCGTGCTGTCATGGTTGGCCGAAGGTGTGATCAACTAGGCTATTGTGGGTGGTAGAAAGCCGGACGCACTAGTGTAATTGCCCAGTGAACTTAAACGTTATAACCAATTGGTCGGTTTGTGTTCCAGGGAGAACTAGTGGGTAAGGGTTATACCTGGAGGCAAGGGTATCTTAACCTGTTAACAGGAGTTGGAAGCTGTCTACTCCTGTGCCCTCCTGTGTAGAGAGAGGGTAGCCTCCTGTGTAGAGAGAGAGGGGGGGGGGGTGTTCCGTCCTGTGTAAAGTACAGGAGTAGACAGATAATAACTTTCCGTGTATTTTCAGTAAGTGTTGTATATTGTCCACTGTGGTGGACATATATTATATATATATATATATATATATATATATATATATATATATATATATATATATATATATACACGGCTGAATGCCTACCACATGCGCTGCCTTAGACACATCTTGACATCACCTGGCAGGACAAGGTGACAAACAACAACGTCTTGGGAGAGCAAAAATCACCAGCATGTACACAATGCTGAAACAGAGACGAATGCGCTGGCTCGGGCACGTTGTGCGAATGGGCGACGGCAGGATCCCCAAGGTTCTCCTGTATGGAGAGCTGAGGCAGGGAAAGCGTCCAGTAGGCAAGCCCCAGCTACGGTACAAAGACGTATGCAAAAGGGACCTGAAAGCCATGGACGTCGATCTTGCTATATGGGAGACACTGGCTGCAGACCGTTCAGCCTTGAGGCAGTCTGTTCAACGAGGTCTCTCCAAGTTCGAGGAGTCACTTGCCAAGGAATCGGAGGCAAAGAGACAGAGAAGGAAAGCCGGTAACCAGGAAGACAGACCAGAATCGGACTTCGTTTGTGCTCGGTGTGGGAAGGACTGCCACTCTCGGATTGGCCTCATCAGTCACACCAGACGCTGCACCAGGATTGACAACTAGGGCGCAACTCCATAGTCTCCCGAGACTGAAGGATGCCTACTACTATATATATATATATATATATATATATATATATATATATATATATATATATATATATATATTACAGGTGTAACTTGGGGTAGTAGCAGGTGTGTGAGGGTCATACACACACCTGGGTAATGTAGTCTTAGGGGTCCACATATATGACTGTGTAATATATTACTTAACCAATTGTACTTACCGCAAATGTAATTTACTTAAGTAAATTTAAAAAAATGGGGTAAATTGCTTTTACAATCTTTAGTTCATTCAAGTTTCCGCACTAATCTTACATTAAAAGAAAACTTTCTAATATCTCTGACTCGTGTGAATCTGGAGCATCCATCAATTTCCTATTTTTTTCCAGTGTCAATTTTATGGATCTGTTATGCATTCTCCAGTTTCTTTCCTCTTTCCTAGCGTCGTCAGGTTCAGTTCCTTCAGTCTCTCTTCACACCCCCGTCCCTCGCAGTACTGGGACGAGTCTACTTGTAACTTCTGGACCTTTTCGAGTTTCGTTGTGTGTGTTGGTGCCCAGAATGGGAGAAGCATAGACTGGTGAAGGTGGGGTTTGGCTCCGTGGAGTGGGAGTGGGAGGGGAATAATGGCGGGAGATAATGTGGGAGAGAGGGGGTGGGGTTGCAGGAAATACCGGTTACAGAAGGGATGGGGTGGGAGGGTGGAGTGTGGATATGGTGGAGGTTTTCTCATTCTATTATATTCTACCACAGACGTGGCCAGGTATTTACAGTGCTTACCAGCATGTATATATTGTTGATACTATGATAGCGAGATATTGAATACCTGAGTACAATCTCTTCAGATGTGACAGGAAACACAGGCTACAGGGTGGGGTCAACCTGTCCTCTTAAAAATAACGTCGCTTTTGCCCGTAGGGCCGAAAGTGAACGTAATTTGAAAATTAAAATAAATGCGGGAATTTTTTTCAACAACAGTAAGTTAAGGGTCCTCTGATAGGTTAGGTGGGCAGGAAATTCTCATAAAGTTTCAAAACGTTATGAAAAACGTTAATTTAACGTGTCCTCTCCTAACCTTTCCGAGTAAGCCGGACGACTCAAACAGAAAACGGGACAGTACGTCAGTTTTGTGAGTCGATTTCATTTCAAATTACGTCCACTTTTGGCCATAGTGCATACGAGCGAAAAGTGACGTTATTTTTAACAGGATTCAGGCTTGGGGTTCACCCGAAGCCTCTACATCAACATCATCTGTACTGAGCTGCTAAACACCACAAACGATATGGTGGAAGTGTTGATAATCAAAATAGTGAATAACCACCTACGGGTTATTCGTGCCCGTGCCACCTCTTAGGCTGCTTAATTTTCATCAATAAATCGACCTGGTTGTGCAGGTGGCCTGGCGTGCACTACACAGCCTCTCACTGTGACGGAAGGGAGCCGGTGGCTGAGCGGACAGAACACTGGACGCGTGATCCTGTGGTCCCGGGTTCGATCCCGGGCGCCGGCGAGAAACAATGGGCAGAGTTTCTTTCATCCTGATGACCCTGTTAGCTAGCAGTAAATAGATACCTGGGAGTTAGTCAGCTGTCACGGGCTGCTTCCTCGGGGTGGAGGCCTGGTCGAGGATCGGGCCGCGGTGACACTAAGTCCCGAATAATCTCAAGATAACCTCTCTTGTTTGACCAGGTTCCTTGGCCGGAAGTGGGGGGGAGGGGGTGAGGCCCCACCGGAACCCCCATCGTGGACCTTCCCCCCATTTTACTATTATGTGTCTTCCGGTCTTCACTTCAAATCGTCACTTCCTTAGCTGGGCCCGGTCCCTCCTGCTGTTCTCCTCCTACCTCACTCCTCCTCCTCACTACTCCTACCTCACTCCTCCCCCTTCCTCACTCCCCCTACCTCACTCCTCCTACCTCACTCCTCCTACCTCACTCCTCCTACCTCACTCCTCCACTGCGCCTCCCTGCCAATATCTAACTGGCAACTCCCACTCTCCTCAGCAATCCTTGTCTCATTTACAAGGTTAGTTCTTGACAACTAACCTCAACCTGTCCTCTTAAAGATAACGTCGCTTTTGGCCGTTTGTCCGTATGGTCGAAAGTGGACGTAATTTGAAAATGAAAGAAAATGAAAATAAATTTGGGATTTTTATTTTTTAACAACAGTAAGTTAAGGGTCCTCTGAT